TAAGCTAAACACACACCTACCTTCAGTGCATAGGAAGGAGATAAACAATACGTCACATACTCTAATGACTCTGGTGCTCAAGACGACCTTTAATTATTATATTTTTGTTCTATACCATAGTCATTAATGTAGAAAAACAAATTAGTTTATTCTGAGGACCACAGCAGATTCATAAATTGACTTCTAGTCTGTATGTCGGAATCGTATTTCATTCTGATAACCCCCAGGCAACTTCTTCATGGCCCTGCTTCTGGCTGCCTCGTGTGCAGCTCCTGAATCCACCACTTCAGGGTGGAGGATCTGTCTTAAAACTGTTTAGCTCTATAGAATCTTTGCTCTAAAATTCAATCATGTAGTTCTGTTGGCAACTGACTTTAAAAACAAAAACAAAACAGAAAGCCCCATGTTGTTTTCTCAGTAACTGGTACTGGCCAGAGCCTCATAATGATTAGAGATGCTGGACAGAGGAATTGGCTCTTGTGCAAGGGCTGGGTAATTCCTGAGCTCTGTGTTTGAGGAGGCAGGAAGTGACTGAGGGGCTCTCTAGGAGGCCCACCATGCCTGAGTGTTTCTCTTTTTTTTGAGGGGGGGTCTCCCTAGTCCTAGCCCACCTGGAGGTCACTATGCTGCTCATTCTCACAGATAGCCGCCTGCCTCTGCCTCTGCCTTCTGAAGGCTGGATTAAAGGTTCGAATGACCACACCCAGTGCACCTAGATATTCCTTGGTGCTGTCATGCCCCTTGTCTCCCTCCTGGCCACTCTCAAAAATTCTCTTTTAAAATATTTCGTTTATTATTTTATGTTTATGAGTGTATTGCCTGCATGTGTATAAGTGTACTTGTGTTGTGCAATGACCAAAGAGGTCAGAAGGGGGCGTCGGATTCCCCTGGAACTAGAGTTACAGATGGTTATTAGTCACCATGTGGGTGCTAGATATCAAACCCGGGTCCTCTGCAAGAGCAGCCAGTGCTCTTAACTGCTGAGCCATCTCTCCAGCCCCAGAAATTCTCTTTCAACAAGCAAAGTAAGAAGTCAAACATTTGGAAGCATCTGTTGATTTTTTAGACTCGGTCTATACTTTATTCTCTTTGCTCACCCCTCCAGTCCCCACTTTCTCACGTGTGTATCTGTAATAAGCACATACATGAGCACGGACTCCAGCCAGGGACAGGAAATGGTCCTCACAGTCCCCTCTGGGCTGGCTGGACCAGGTTCTAACCACCCACCAAAGCATGCAGAGAGGTTTGGGGTGAACTTCTGGATGGGAGCTTCTGACAAGTCAAATAAAACCAAACAAATGAAAACCAGAAGAAAAACTGTGAACAAAAGAGACCAACCAGTGTCATGAAGGCCACAGTGACATGAGGACCACGCTGCCCACTACAGGGGGAGACGCAGAGGAAGCCTGAGGACCCAGCCTCTCTCCACCTGGGGAAACCCTGGTCCTGCCCTGCTGGGGCTGAGGCTGTCTGGTGGCCTGGCGAGCATTAATCCTTGTGAGTGAGCATGAAGGATGATGCAAAGGAAAAGAAGCATCACAAATTAAAAAAAAAAAAAATACATGTAACATGTGCCTACCATTTTCCAGATAAGAAGGGGCCGTACCTTCTGACGGGTCTAGGCGGCGGGCCCGCCTCCCGTGTTTGGAATTGTTGTGCACAAACATGTTGTCAGACACAGCCAGCACGTGGCCGTCCACGTTGACTGTTGTCGATACAACAACCTGTGAAGACGAAGTGAATTTGAAAATGGAGTTGGCACAGAAAAGCACAGGCACCGGGCACGCGAGATAAAAGCCAGCTCAGAGGCAGGCGGTAAAGGAGCCTTCGCTAATTCTGGAAACTCTCCACTGCCTGAAACACATTCACAGCCTTTTCTTTTTTTTTTTTTTTTGGCTAATGGGGGTGGGTTGTTTTGCTTTGTTTTGACTCAAGATTGCTTCTTTTCAAAAAAGACCCTGCTCCACTAATTACATTTAATCTCTTATTATGCTAACAAGTGGATTCAATTCAGAGAAATATTCTCCTAGCCATTAGCTTCCGAAACACCCCTCTAGCCATTCATTTGAAAGCTGCTGTTTTGATTGATCTGTACACATATTGATTAGATAGTTTATCTAATTTAAATTAGTTCACTCGAGACCAGCCTCCCTTGAAGACCTGTGAAGATTCAGTTGTCCCAAAAAGGGTTCATAAATCAGGGCTCTCCCTGTTGTCCCCTTCTAGCAGCAGAGGATCCTTGGGTCAACTGTACAATTACTTTTAATGTCTGAGAATGAATGTTTTTGCATCCGAAAACACTGAGCTGAACTTGAACAGTGGAAGTGTTCTCCAAGCCAGGGAAACTATCCTTTCTTGAGTTGTTTGGGAAGAGGTGGCAATACCCTGGAGGCCAAGGCAACTTCAGTTGGAGTAGCTCAGGGCCGCTCATGAAAGAGCGGGCAGAGCAGGCTTCTCCTGCATCATGAGGAAGAGAAAGTCACATAGGAGACTGCTAGCACCAGACTTCACCTCCCCAGTGAGCTCATAGCGAGCACTCAGCAGACCCAGGCAACCGCAAAGTGGCCTTGACATTTCCGACAGGTGGGTCCATGTGGGTACACTGCTTTTCCAGAAGAGCTAGAGAAGCAAAGACCTGGGCCCAGGATTAACCTGGGGCTCGAGCCTGGATTTACAGAAAAGAAGCCTGGCTCTGGCACAGGTGGTGGGCCAGCACCTCCTGGGAGGACTGGATAGGGGAGGAGGGGAGTGAGGGCTGTCAGGTAAAATGAAGGTGACACCGCTACAGTGCACTCCGTGAGAAGCACCCATCAGCAGAGCAAATCCGCTGCACCAAGTATGCTCACGGTCAGGGCCAGAGCATCAGGAAGTGCCTGAGCTACCCCAAGGACCTTTCATAAGTCTGAAACTGCACAAAAGAAAGTCTAGTGATAAAACAAATAAAACTGATTTTAAACTGATAAACAAAAGTGACTAAGGACAAATACTATTTCTGCTTGGTATCTGGCACATCCCTGTAATCTTAGCACTCAGAAGGCTGAGGCAGGAGGATAGCAAGTTCAAAGACAGCCTGGGCTATGTAGCCAGATTCTGTCTCCAAGAAATAACACAAAAGTAAACAAAGAGTATTTTAAGTGTAAAATAAAATCCAAAGCTACATGATTATATATGTGTGCAGATTACTGGCTTTAAAATCTCAAGCCCCCAAAGGTCATGGTACAGGCCACCACCCTCGTCACATATACCCTCAGCTCCCCTGGGCGACTGTCCCTCTCTTCCCTTCAGACCTGCCAGAACAGCAGAGGTCTAGGCAACACTAGGCAGACTGAACTGAAAATGTGATGGTCAGCCCAGCCACAAGGTTCGCTCTAGTTCATATCCCAGTATGCTCTCTTCTGACTCACACCAGTGTAACTGCCCTGGGAGCCCTGGCGCAGGGTGGCTCGGACACTACTATGTTGCCACCTGTGGCAGGCACCCAGGGGCTGCTTCTATTTGTCAGGTACCTTACGGGGTCTGCCTGTAGGCCCTGCTCTGGGCACTGACTGAGCTCCAGGACACATCACTGAACATGATGCAGGCACCTGACCAAAATTTGAGGCAGAGACTTGACCATGACATTTTTTAAATAAAGCAAAAGGTTAAAATAAAAAAATTTAGGAACCACTGTCTGTGTTCTGTCCTCTACATAGAGGCTGGTCATCAGGGGAAACAGAGCAGGCACATACTGCATTGTCCCCTGCAGGTCAGCCCTGCCGTGCGCCTACCCCCATGGTGCTGAGACTCTTACACACTAGTGCTAGCATCCTGTAAGCCAGGAGGTACCCGGAAGTCCAACTAACCCTTCTGAGAGGCAGGGGTGTTAAAATGATCAGAGTCACTATGGGCTCCACAGTATACTGTGAGATCACTTGGCTGTACCCTGTCATTGGTAAAACAAACAGGACCATACCACTGAGCCTGGGGTGATCCTCTACGAAGATGGATCACTATCACCTACACTTTGTGTACTTTCCCAAATGAAAAATGGAAGCTGGCTCAGTAGTTTGCAGGAAATGCTGTTCCAGGCCATGAAGGCCACTGTAGGTGAGCCTATGGCCCCTCCCTGTAGAGCCAGAATGGTAAGAGATGGATATCACATCTCCCTGCAAGCCTGATGCACACGTGGAAACCCTATAGACACCATGAGCTATTTGACAAAAAAAGTCTACAACACAAAGTTCCCTCAGCAATGTTATCATTTGAAGTTCAATTCTCAGTCCCTGCTTAGCTCCTCTAATTTTACAATGGAAATCAATTAAATAGTCATCCCTCCTACCCTTATACCAAGGGCCCATGACTGATAGAACCCTGACCATTCACAAAGACCGGGGAAACATGAATGCTGTCACAGCTGGTCTCTGAAGCCACAACCAGTCCTCCCTCTTGCAGACTGAATCTTCCCTGCAAACAGGAGCAGGAGCAAGCATGGGTCCAGAAGAGATTAGTGGCTGGGCCTGAATGGAGGTACAACCTTGGGCAGAGGAAAAGGAGGTAACATTCCGGAGTCCTCAGAGGCCTGTATTAAGCAGATTCAGACCCCTTTATGAGGAGGCTCTAGACCTCAAGCATACTAGGAAGTCTGCATTCATGGTCCCCCCACACAATGAAAATAATCAATCAGCCAATTCCTAGAATTTAGATCTTCAACCTGGGCATGTCTTCAGAGCTGTCAGGTAGCTGTGGGCCAGACTCGTACATCTGGCAAGCTAAAGACATAGGCAATTTAAAATGCATTTTATTTGACTATTCTATCAAATGAATCAAGTCCAGTTTGCTACTAGCCCTTAGAGAACTAAAGACTTTTCCCAACAATTATGAAATCTGAGAATGTCTCAGCACAGCCAGGTCGGGCCGTGTGCCTCTGAGGGCTGCGTACCTGGAATCTCCGCATGTCCCGAGGGTTGCCTGCATTCTTCAAACAGTTCTGATTGCACTTGAGGAAGAACTTTAGAAAGAATCTATAAAAACACAAAGAATAGATAGTTAGGGTTACCAGACAACAGACCTTTTTGTAAAAACTACAGTTGTAAGGAAGAAACAGAGGGGACTCTACAGCCTGGCTGGCTGCCCTGTAGGGGGCGGTGCTGAGCATAGCCATGGGACTGGCAGGCAGAGACTCCTGGTCTCCTAGAACCAGAGTGGTGATCTGCACATCTGTCTGACCCTACAGATTTCCAAGCTTTGTAATAGCAACTGCGACTTCAGGAGAGACCTTTTCTTGAAGGAATCTTTGCATAACTGTTAGCACTGGAGAGACACCCACTCCAGCCAGGACTATCAGCTTCAGCTAATAAAAACACAGGGTGCCCAGTAACATTTGAATTTTGTATAAGCAACAACTGACTTTTAGTATAGGTACGTCCTAAAATGAACCTTGACTAAAACTATTTATCAAAATTGAAACACCATTGGAAAATGCTGCAGTTTATCTGGGAATCTCAGTTCCCAGGGTTTATCCCTGCCAAAGCAAACACACTATTAAAGACAGATTTTAAAAGTTACAGTAGGGTTTTTGTTGTAATCAGAATGCATTATTTGCCTGTATGAAATAGATAAATTTAAATTTAAAAAAGAAAAAAGTCTAACTCTCAAGAAAATAATGGGGTGCAGGGTTACAGTGGTTTTTGCAGACAAGCCTCCACATGCTTTCAGGGAACAGCAGGTAGATATTTTGGTGTGGCTGCAAGAACTCTACAAGTAGCAGGCCCCAGCCCAGGGCTAAACAGAGGAGCCAATTCTACCTCTGTCAGACCTGGACTGTGGCAGGAAGGTTTGGGAGTCCTGACAGAGTGTTGAGGGGCTGTGATGAAAGTGCCGTCCTCCTCCCTCCCTCAAACTCAGTGACAAATGACGCTGCCTCAGTAGCAGCAGGTAGACACCAGGCAGCCTGGCCATGCTACACCCTCACGGGGAGCACAGAAGGTTGTGTCCTGCAGTAACTCTGCCCCTACTTGCAAAGACCATGTCCATGGTAAGCTGAAAGTGGGCAGGCTCCCTGCTAGCACATCTCCTCCATGGCTGGGCCTGTCCAGCAAGGCTACCTCAGGTAGAAAAGCTATTGTTTCCTCCTCAAATATGGCCTGTCCTGACTGGGGGTGGTCAATGTTGTGTGAAACTTGGTACAATTTTCTTGAATTTGGTCTTTCATGTTTAGGGTTCCTTGGTGAAAATTTAGAAACTGCAGACTGGTTCATTCTGGGCATCCCCAGCAATCCTGGAAAGCCCAAGCACAGCAGGAGACAATTCCTTCAACGAGAGCAAGAACAGTGACCATTCAATGACATTTTCTTATATACTGCGACTCCCGGCTATATTGGGCCAGAATTTACATCTTTTATTAACTCACCTCACCTATACAGTTAGCTCACAATGCCTCTTAACGCCATCTGCCATCAGCTAGAGCAAGTCACTTGATATTCCACCCACCAATTTTTCCTAACAACCACAGTGCAATTAAACTCCACACGTTGTGCAGCGAGGTAAATTAGGCGCACCTGCGGCCGCACTGCATTTGAACTGCATCAGAAAGGGCCTAACAAGGTGAGGGCGCCACAAAGTTATCGTCCTGTCAGGCAATTAGGTTTTCACTTCAGGGACAGCCACACGGTGCAATTATGCCCCACATTACCACCCGGCTAATCTTCTGAGTAGGCGCCGGCCGGGAAGCTGCTCATCCGCAAAGGTACCTGCGAGGAGGCTGTGTTGGGGGCTTTTCTTGTAAAATGAAATATTTCTCCCCTTCCTGAGGAGGTGGCTCTAAATTCCTTGATGTCTATTTAGCCAGCTCGGCCCTTTGCCTCTAAGACAGCAGAGTGGGTTGTGAGGAGACCCTAGCAGCCCTGCATTCTGGGGCCTTAACTATCATCAGCTCAGAGACCAGCCGAACGAACCTGGGTGCTGGGAACAGGAACACACTGAGCACTCCTGGAGCTGCAGGTGCACACGGCACACACGTGTTCCTGCTTTCTCTTTTGCACGTGGCAATCGCAGCTCTGCTTCTCTGTGCAGAGTGTGTAAAGGCAGTGCAAGCACTTGAGAAAGATCTACAGGGACGACCTCTACGGAGAGAAGGATGCTTTCCAAGCACTCAGGTTCCAACGGCACAAATAGAGCAAATAAAACACAGGCGGAGCCGCCGCGCCAGGGCCAGGGCAGCCTCCACACAGAGGAAGGTGTTTTTTCAACCCTCATTTTGCTTCCGTTCATGTCGAAGATGCAATTAAGGCTTCGCAGGCGGCAAGTGCAGCCCAGGCAAGCAGAACCTGCTGACACCACGCCCCTTCCATGGATGTGGAGGTGTGCCAAGCCCAGGGATGCCACGGACCTCGCATGGGAGCAAAGGTGTGCTGAACCAACCCGAGGAGGCCATGCACCTTGTGTAGACACAGAGGCGTGCTGGTGCAAAGTTTAGGAAGGAGGCAACACTGAATTCCCAAAGCATCAAGTCAAGCAGTAATTCCCATCCTTTACTCAATTGCCCTTTAATTGGCTTTTCCTAAGAAGTATCTGCCAACCACTTTACATATCTCACTTCCAGAATCTGGTACACAAAGGGTTCAATACTCTTGTTATGAAAGAAAAAAATCCTTCCTGTGTCAGAAAATCTTTGACTTTAGCACCAATAAACTCTTTATTATTGCTAAATGTGGATTTGCTGCTCGATTGCAAAGAGGCAATAAAAATTCTAACCTGTCATTAGTACATTACGCTTAATTGTGTACAGTGTTTCCCTGGCATCTGCTGGCCCGACGTCAAAATGACCGTTATGTGCACTAATTCCCTGACCCCATCTTTATTTCCCTAAAGACTCATCATCTTTCACAGTAGGTACCAGAGTAAATCAAGCTTGAAATATGGGCTTTATTTACCTGTCTCTCCCAGGCAGAGGGGAAGACAGTAGCTAAAGACAAACGGCTCCACACCAGGAGCTCCCCAGGAATATTACACTAGGAAACAGCGCAGAACTCCAGAAAGTTCTCAGGCGGTTAGGTGGGATGCCATCACTGAGGAAACGGGCTTTTCTCTCGGGCAGTGCTGCATGGGTTTGGGCAGGCACTAAGCGGCTGCTCTCGTTCATTCTTGGGAAGGCTGGTTCCCCTCCTAACTCCTGAGGACCCTGCGATGATGGACTGGGGACGTGAGGACACAGGCGCTTGCCTGGGTGGACCGTGAGCCCAGCCTGGGGATTTGAGGTTAAACTGGAAATCCCCTCTTGATTGGAACTCATATCCTATTGCTGTGGTAGAGTGTGACCCATGAAAGAAGAGTTGAAGTTTGGACTTGATGTAGCATCAGAGTCCCAACAAACAACTCTAGTGTCAACAAACAGGAGTTCGGAGCAGCAGTGGAGTGAAGCTGCTAGGCTAGAGCGAGTAGTGGGACCCACTGCTTCCACCCCAGCCCTCCTCGGTATCCCGGGGTAAGGAGCAAGCCCCCACCACAGTGATTTCAAAGTCGGCTCCATTTCTGTGTGTTTAAGCTATGAATTAGTTCATTTATATTTACTTTTATGAAGCTGATTAACCAGAGCGTCTCTATCTGATGAAAATCATTTTAATTGTAGTGTTAGGCTCCTGTGTAATATCCATTACATTATGAACTGTTTAAATTCTACATGGGTATTGTGTAAATTGGCCCTTTGTGAGCTAGCAGGCAATTAGGACCAAACAGCTCCCCTTAAACGGCTACAGAACTTTGTGGTGGTGTTCAGGACAATCAGAGACAAAGGAGACTGTTTAATTGTAATTTAATGGAATATCAAGGAGTCCGTGGCATTAGACGCTGGCAACAGAGAGCAGGAGAGAAAAATTAACTGCAATTATGTTTGATTAAAGCCATCCTTCTCAATAATCAGTAGTCCTGACAGGCCACGGGGCTCTAGTGGGCTCCAGGATGGCAAAAGGTGTTGAGCAATATTAGGGCCAATAAAGGGGTATTAGCATAGCTAATTACAGCCCTGCAAAACCTGTAAAGGGGGCCTCTGTGTATTGTAATGTGGGAAATAATTGGCCAAGGCCGTTATCAATTACATAAGGAATGAATTTGGTTTGTCAGAGAAAAGCTGATGAGATGCCTCTCATCTGACACCAGCCCTTCCCTCACAGTTCCAGGCAGCTCCAAACTCACCCACGTCCGTCAAGAGCCGAGCAAACAGTGGCCAACTCCCTGATAAAATCGGCCTGCCAGCAAGGTAGGTAATTAATACAGCTCACCTCACCACCCTCCCTGACACTGCTGTTTTTACCTAACTGAAGCCACTAATCACACAGTAATGATTTCTTTCCCTCTGGTCAAAGGAGAAATAGATCGTCTCTGTAGAAATGTGGTGGGCTTCACGGGCGCACCCTGGTGATTGAGGAGGAAGAGGGAACTTGGAGCCTGCTTCATCGCAATCTTCTAGTAGCACATGGCTATCTCCTGTTTGAAACCTGCAGCTCGTCTGCAGGTCAACAGTGCTCTGTGGGGACTATTTATTTTTTGATTGTCAAGGTTTAGACTGTTGCAGGGCTTGGTTCTACCAGTGTTTGAAAATGTAAGCCACAGAGCACTGGAAGGTATGACGCTGATTCAAGGATACATGGCCAGGCTGAGCGGTCCTGAGGTACTCTGGCCTCTCACAGAGTAAGTGGACAAACTCCAAGCCATCTTGGACTTGGATTCTCCAAGATCCCTTTTGCACCTGGTTCCAGCCTTGTGGCTCAAGGCTCAACCTCTTTCTGAGTCCTAGGTTATAAGCAATGTGGAAAAGTGGAGGCAGGAAGGAGCACTGGTGCCTTTTACAGGGCAGAGGGGCTTGATTTCAGCTTTAAGCCAGAGTCCTTAATGAGCCACACACTCAGGTGACAATGGGCAGAACTCCACAACAGTCAAGGCCCCAAAGCCATCCTGTATAAATCAGAGTGCAATGACAGCATGTAGGGTTCAGGGAGGGCACAGAGCCCACTGCGGACAGGACACT